GATGGGGAGGGGCTGTGCTAGGGAGGGGCGGGGGCTGTACTAAGAGGGGGAGGGTCTATGCTAGAAGGGGGAGGGGCCATGCAAGGAAATATACTCTTCCTGGAGTTGTCACCCAGCCATGTTCTAGAGGGGGGATGGGGATGTCAGGCTGACGGTGTTCCTCCTCCTACAGACGCCATCGATCTGTGTGATGAACGCGGATATCTGAGGTCACCCCGCGTCAGACTTACCCCCGTGTGTAAAGTGGATGAGGACAGCCAGGTGGGGTGCAGTTCCGGAACTTTCGATGTTTCCTCATGACGTCACCCCGAAATATTTCTTGTTATCAGAGTCAGCAAAGGAGGAGGAGCCCCGTGTCAGGGGGAGTCATGTGGTTTCTATGAGGGTAAGGAATACCTGGAAGGGTCACATGACTCAGCATGGATACAATGTATCTGATGACGGGTCCATTGTTTTCTAACTTTGTTACAGGCACTAAAAATGAAAATTGCTACAGACACGTAACATGTCATGGGGTCCAACCCATCCCCCGAGGTCACAGGTACAACTACTGCACCCTGACCATCTCCTGTAATATGTCTGCGGTCTCTGACCATCTCCTGTACCATGTCTGCAGTCTCTGACCATCTCCTGTACCATGTCTGCAGTCTCTGACCATCTCCTGTACCATGTCTGCAGTCTCTGACCATCTCCTGTAATATGTCTGCAGTCTCTGACCATCTCCTGTAATATGTCTGCAGTCTCTGACCATCTCCTGAACATGTGACTTCCCTGAGTGTCATTGTGAATCAGAGAGTTCCATATACTCCCCAGGCTGTAGCAGATACACCACCAAAAGATTGGGGACACCTGACCATCACACCTCCAATATCTGAGCTTGTTAGACCTCCCATTCCAAGAACGTGAAGTCCACCACAAGGCCACGGACTCTCCACGATAAACATCATCATACAAAGACATTGGAGACAATTGGGCTCTTCCAGGCTTGTGGTCACAGTTTGGTGAAGACTAGACATGTGCCTGAATTCGTATTTCGGATACAAAAACAACGACCACATCGACTCCAATATTAACAAAGGTATTTCTGCTTTTTAACTTCATCATAACGAATGTTCGTAAAGTTACGGAAATGTGCCGAAACTAACGCAAATCCGTAATACGAAATAACGGATATTCCGAAACGAAACAGAACAAATTTTTTGACGGCGCACAAGTCTAGTGAAGACCCTTTTCTGTCCCCCCCATGACTGTCCCCCGTGTACAAAGCTCCATACAAACATGGGGGGGGGGCTCCATACAGACACGGGGGGACCAGTGTGGTGGAGGAACTCGAGTGTCCTGCACAGAGCCCCGACCTCATCCCTACTGAGCACCTCTGGGATGAAATGGAAATATGTAGACTTTGACTGTTTTGTGGTCTGACCCATTGCAATGCCGTAGTCCTCACTTCCTGTGATCTTTACAATGGCCAGTATGGGAGTCTAGGTGGAAGACCCACACAGAGAGCACTGGAGGAGCAACAGTGGACTGACCCTTGTATGGGGGGTAATGTATTGTGTGGCCAAAAGTATGTAGCCAGCCCTCCAAATGAGTTCATTGTAGATAGTTGGGATCTTCCAGCCTTGTGGTCACAGTTTGGTGAAGACCCTTTTCTGTCCCCCCCATGACTGTCCCCTGTGTACAAAGCTGGCTCCATACAGACATGGTGGGAGGGGGGGCTCCATACAGACATGGTGTGACCAGTGTGGTGGAGGAACCCGAGTGTCCTGTACAGAGCCCCGACCTCATCCCTACTGATCACCTTTGGGATAAATTGGAATGTGAGCCCAGGTCTTCTCACCCAACATCAGTACCTGACCTCACACATGGTACTTTTTCTATTAAATATAGTAAGATACGACTTGAAACAAAGTGTCTGTATTCCATAAACCGGTTGTCACGATCCGGGATCAGGCTCAGAGTCCAGTAGCTGAAGCAGCGGGCACATTCGTGGTATAACAGGCCGGGTTCGGTACACAAGCAGACGGTAGTGGTGGAGGAGCAGGCAGAAGCGTAATCAGGGAACAAGCCGAGGTCAGGAGCCAAAGGTATCAGGTATGTAGCAGAAGATGATGAGAGTAGTCGGTGAATCAGCAGCCAGAGGTCGGCACACGGGTAGCAGTATAAGCGGGTTGTATCACAGAGGGAGCAGGAAGCAAGATATTGGCAGGAGCACAATAATCTGGCAAACAGGAAGTGCAGAGGCGTGGCTTAAATAGGAAGTTCAAGGGAGGAGCAAGGAGTTCAGAGTTCAGCAGGAAGTAGGGTTACCTGAGGATCACACAGGAGAGCAGGCAAGGAGCTATCCCAGGTTCTAAGGTGGCTCAGCAGGTAGAACCACCGCCAGCTACAGCAGAGGCCCCGGGTTCAGATCCGGTTCCTGACAGCGGTACAGTTGGATGTGCTGCGACACCGCTCCGGTCACCCTGGGACATGAATTTGGGGGTCATTGTACACCATGAAATGTATAACAGTCAATCCCTGTATCTATTGTAACAAGTCTTTCCTCCACCACATCCAGACTCGTCATCACACAATCCCACCAATGACATTGTATAAACCAGTGGTGGCGAACCTCGGCACTCCGGCTGTTTTGGAACTACAAGTCCCACGAGGCATTGCGAGGCTCTGACAGCCACAGACATAACTCCCAGAGGCAGATGCATGTTGGGATTTGTAGTTTTGGCACAGCTGGAGTGCCAAGGTTCGCCACCACTGGT